CCAAGAGGGGGGAGGGTAATTTCTCACTTTCCTTCTCACTGTCTGTTTCCTGTGAGCACACACACTCTACGGCAAAAGCCTAAAAGACACGGAACTGTGGGCCAGCAGTGGTGAGGCTAAACCACTGGATCCCACATGGCTGACGGCATGGTTCTAGTCCCTGACCTGGCAACTTGAAAATCATGCCTCATGTGTGTACACACATGCCCAAAATCTTGAGAGGAGAATGGAGAAGAAGGGATTACAGCATAGCCATGTCTTGGGTGATGACTTCTCATGTTCCCTCTCTGGCGAGCACATGCGACCTATAAAACAATAGTTAAAGCAGATTATCCATTGTATAATGTTGCTATTGTTTTCTATCTATAAAAAGTAAGTAGAAGCGGGTGCCAGCAGGTGGCATGGTGGTTTAAGGTACTGGACTCCCACATGGCCAACTGTGGTTTGGTTCCCAGCCCTGGTGGCTTGCTTTCTCAATTTCTATCTCTCTCTCTCTAGCTCTCACTCCGTCCCCCTCTGGTCAGATTAAAATAAATGAATAAATAAAAAGTTAAATAATTCTTTAAAAAAGAAAAAAAGTAGAAGCAGAAGTAATGCGACGCTCCTGTGTCCACAGAGGACAGCTCCAAGTTCCCATCCCAAGGCCTACATGTGCACATGCACGTTGTTGATTCTGGTGGGCTGAGAATAGCCATGGATGGCAATGTGAAGACCCTATTGGGGGTGCCCTTTTTTTTTCTCTCTTCATAGGTGAAATAAACTTTTACTTAAAAGGTGAGGGCAGTCCCATAACATGGTGGTTAAGCACTGTGCATTAGAAGTGAGCTCCCACATGGCTGACCATAGCTGGAATCCCCCACAGAGGCTTGAAAAGCACTCTGAGTATGTGTGCTTGTGTGCCCCAAATCCTGACAGGTGGGAGAAGTAGGAGAAAAGAACTGCAGAGTGAACACACCCCATGAGGGGGGGTCACTTTCTCTCTCTGGTGAGCACATGCACCATGTGCACCTTCCCACAATTAAAAAAAAAAAAAAAAGGAATCGGAGGCCTCTATAGCAAAAGTAGTAGGGCACCATGACCTAATGCTGGAGCATATGGAGGCCCAGGTTCAGAGGCCAGGATGAGCTGAGTACATCCTGTGCAGCAGTGCGCCTGTGGCCCTAGCTAGCTGGGACATCACTGGCAAAGACTGCCTGGCAGGGTTGCCTCTCTCTCATAAACTTTAAAACAAAAGGGGGGAGGGACCTGGAAATTACATCTCTTGTAGCATTACTTCTGCTTCTACTTCTACTCAGTGAGTAGAATGAACATACTATAAAGTAGCACCTAGCTAGGGCTGTATAGTTTACTGCAGTCATCAAATAGGTATTTTTAATGCTTTTTTTTTTAGTTTCAAGAAAAAACAGTTTTAAGTTTTTGATTTTTTTTTCTGCAACTTTTTTTTAACTTAATTAATTTACATTCACTCCCTAAGCATCATCACAGCACACAAAATATGATTTCCCATCCACAATATACTGCATAGTGGCTTAATCATGCATGTTATCAATCATTTTCCATTTCTAGTTTCATATATATATATATATATATATATATA